AAAAAAAAAAAAAAAAAAAAAAAAAAAAAAAAAAAAAAAAAAAAAAAAAGAAGAAGAAATGCACTACCATAAAAACCCATCCCCAGAAACACAGACTGAACCTGTAAGACCTGAACCAGTCCAACCAGCGGAGTCTCTTAAATCTGTAGCTGATAAAAACATATTTAACAACTTTAAAAGTGCAGTTTCTGTGTTGTGAGGGGCTACAAAACCTGAATATGCTCAGGCAGTTTGATTATTAAAAAAGCAGGAAGAAACAAGTATAGTTCTGTAGAGCAGGTGGGCTGTGCAGCGCAGTATGTTAACAGTTTAAGAAATCAGGGGTCCAATGGTGGGCACAGCTAACTGAAATATTTGTTTCACTAACTTCTAAACTGCTACACACATTCCTTAAGTCTGCTAATGAGAAAAAGGTGAGTTGATAAAACAAAATGATGAACACTAAAGCTGAACCACAAATAACACCTGGTCCACCATGTGGCAAAAACTTCAACACACCAGCTAAATGTGRCAAACAGTCAGCTCAACCCAAAACCCTTCATAGATCACTGATAAAAGCATTTAGATCTTTTTACAGGTAAAAAGTTCAGAATCTAGTTCATGGGAAACCATAGCTATCAAATAAAGTACAGGAAACTACRTGATGGTGTATTGCAGGCTGGGTAATGGCTGCCCTTGTTTTAATTTAGCCAGGAGGCGGAGCTACAGCTGACAGACAGGAAATGCAAAAATGACAGAGAAATAAAGTGTTTCTGCTGATTAAACTCTTCTATTTAAACACTATCAGCACTAAAAAGCTGTGTGTATACCCCAGATTGTTTCACTTTTTAAATCTTGAAGCAAACTCAGGAAATCATCTCTGAGACTGAACAAAGTCCCAGCTAGTGTTGTAGTACTTGAAACCGGTCTTGGTCTTAAGAGCGGTCTCAAGACCACTTTTTGATGGTCTTGGTCTCGTCTCGGACTCGACAGCATTTGTACTCGGTCTTGTCTCGGTCTCGGACATTGAGGACTCGGAATTTTATTTCAAGACCAGTCAAGTCCACAACTGTGGAAATATCAATAAATAGCCGGATTATTGGCAAATTTATTAGTTAACATTCTTGCTTTCATTTGATTTAAAATGTAGTTACTGATTCAAATYCAAACCTGACTCGTTGCTATTTCTGTATTTTTGTTACCGGCTGTCACCCATTCCCAGTCCCCATCACTTGCACGCAGCACTCCAGTAAAGTGAGAAGTGGTTCTCTGGGAGCGGTAAAWGATGTCTTCAAAATTTTAAGTATAAAATTTGGTTTTATTATTCATAAATAATATAAGTGTAAAACAACAACAATAACCAGGAGAAAACGTACAGCAACTTGTACATTCAGCAGTGCTTCACTTTCAGAGACAATGGGGACAACTTTAAACTTTTAYYRTCACTAACGTYAACAATCTGCCTCTGTAGCAAAATTCTTTCTTCTGCCCTCAAACAAAGATYTTGTCWATATTAGCTCTWTATATTAAGTTTGCTACAGTGGGGAGAGAAAGTATTTAGTCAGCACCAATACTGTAGTTCAAGTTCTCCCACCTATAACGATGAGARAAGCCTGTGAATGACATCATAGTTGGACCTCAACTATGAGATCTAAATACTCCCCCTCCACTGTACATGTGTAAAGAATACTCCATCTTTTAGGAAWTTTTTTTTTTAATCTGGTCTTGGTCTTGTCTCGGTCTCGCCCTTCCTTGGTCTTGGTCTCGACTTGGTCCAAACCCTAAAAGTCTTGGTCTTGTCTTGGTCTCGCCCTCCCTTGGTCTTGGTCTCGACTTGGTCCAAACCCTAAAAGTCTTGGTCTTGTCTCGGTCTCGAGACACTGTGGTCTTGGTCTTGACTTGGTATCGAGTAAGGTGGTCTTGACTACAACACTAGTCCCAGCTACAAAGGATGCTGGGGAAAAATCTAAAACCATTTTTTCTGATTTTTTTAACAATAGTTTTGAGTGTGGACTTTGTTTTTTTCTTGATAAATTCTTGTTCAGTTTTTAGTGTATATTTAGTGTGAGTCCTGAGGTTGGAGATGATGTCACTGTGTGACCTGTGGCAGAGACTGATTGATGTTCACAACACAACTCAGGAACATCACTGCTGCATGTGAAAGATAGGTTTTACCGAAAATATCACCATGTAGTGATGCAGACTGTAAAATTAGCAGTCAAGAAAATAAACTATAATTTAGTGCAAGTTCAGTCTGTTACGAGTWATAAAGTTGTAAATACTAAACTGCTCATCAAAATATTAGTTCTGTTTATATCCGATGAGCAGATCAGTGAAATYAACCCCCAAAAACCTGAATAAAACTGTGTTTCTGCCTCAGAAAGAAGATTCAAACTCAGAACACACGCAGATGTTTTGGATTCAGGGAACAGGAGTTTTGTCTTACCAGTAAGGAGTCCCAATAAAAGACTTTCTTTTGGCCACGGAGGCACTGATCTCAGCTGCAACTCCAAAATCAGCTAAAACACAGAGAGAGAGGCTTCTGTAGATCTGACTGGACTTCAGCATGGCATGACGTTTGTGCTGGAGGTGTGTGTGTCTGTGTGTAGATGTCTGTAGATGTGTGTAGCTGTGTGTAGGTGTGTGTGTGTGTGGACTCACTAACCCAGTTTGACGTCTCCTCTGTCTGTTAAAAGGATGTTGGCTCCCTGAAGAAGAACAARCATGTTAACCATCACATTATCAGTAAAACCTGTAAATATGAAACCCATTTACCTTTATGTCTCGGTGCATTTTGCCATTTTCATGCAAGTGATATAAACCCTGGTAAAAAAAAAGGGGGGAGGGACAAAAATACATGTTTTATAATTGTTATAATTATAATTCAACACATATTTATTCATAAGTACGTCCATTTATCTGCTAATCAAGAACTTTGAACAACTCTCACATAATCAATAAAACAAAAAGATCTTTGTAAAGATCCACCTGACACCTGCAGTGGTTCAGTAAACCATTTCTATTTTAACTTTAGTAATACTTGTGTACTTTGCTTTGTTGTGTTCTTGCTTCTTACAGTGTGTACACTAACCAGGTCAGTACTTAGTTTTACCTGCTCATGGACTGTATCTCTGATGTACACTTAAAGGAAAGTATTATTTACAGCAGCTCTTCTGTGGTTGCAAAATAAATAAATATATAATAAGAAGTGAAAGAATGAATTTCACCAACAAGCTTTCAGTCAAACCTTAAAAATGATCTCATTAAATATCACGTCACTCAGCGTGTGTGTCATTAACTTTCAGCTACTTTCACACTCAGGTCTAGCTAAAACAAGGAAAGACTTTGAGCCATTTTTCAACATTGAGTGATAATAAAAACCAGTTTGAAGACAAAAAGTCTTACCTGAAGAGTTTCCCTGCACACAAAGGCTATCTGTTTCTCCTTCAATGGACCTGTCACTGGAACAAACAGTTTGAATTTTAACTTTTACACACAAACACTGGGTTTTATAATTCATCACCTGTTTACACAGTAGTTGTTTTTAATTCTCCAACATCTTTACAGTCCACTTCCTAAAAAAGCTGGGACATAAAAAATAAAACCAAACCATATTTTATTCATCAGTTTTCTAACTGCACAACTGAACCTTTTGGGGGATAAAAATATTCATGTGGTTTTGATTTAATGTCAGAAACACATCAGTTTTTTTCATTGATCAGTAAAAAAAAGAAAAAAAAGAAACACATCAGTTTAACAAAACACTGGAAACTGTTTCCAGTTTGTAACTAATTCTATCAAAGGACTGGGTTTACAGACTGAATCTGTCAGAGATGGACAGAGGTTCATTTTAATACATAAATCTGTGTCTGGCCAATTAAAAAAAATATCAGTTTATGTATTTTTTACTCAGTGTTAAGGATATAATTGATCATTTATTGAATTATTATTTACAAACCTCTCAAAACCAAAAATATAACTGCCTGTTTTTACTCTCTAAGAGACGTTGGAAAAATATACWGCAGTAAGAAAAGCTGCAGGTTCTGAACTATTTAATGTGTTTAAATGTTTGTTATCCAAATCTTAAATATTCAGATGTTACATTCATTGCAGTTTTTGTTTTGAGCTCTTTGTCCTGCCCCTCAGGAGCCAGCAGCTTCAGGGAAACGCTGTAGACTTGTCTGTACCTTGGTACATGTCCTGCAGAGAACCTCCACCACAGTACTCCATGCAGATCCAGAGCTTGGTGTTCCTGAAGACACATTCCACAGAGAACATCACATGAATGAGCTTAAACCCACCTGGGAGAGAGCGGGTTGAAAACACACCTGTGGTAGCTCCCGAAGTAGGCCACGATGTTTTTATGTTTGCACTCCTTCATCATGGTGATCTCCTGCTGGATGGATGTGATGTCATCACCTGGGCACACAGACAGACAGGTGAGCAACTCCACAACCCCAGCTTAAATATAAGATACACATCATACAACAACCAAACGTTAGAGACCATAAAAGAATGACATATCATCCACCACCACCTTTCACACCAAAGTTGTCTCGTTGTTTTGTGTCTCTACCAGAGGACAATACACTGTCAACCTGTGTCTCTCTGTGTCTCCTTCCTGTCACTCAAACCCAGCTGGTTCTGGTTCTGCTGGAGGTTTCTTCCTGTTAAAGGGAGTTTTTCCTCTCCACTGTCACTAATGTGATGCTCAGGTTCTTTAGATGGATTGTTTTTTGTGTACAAAACATGGCTTGGACTTATATAGCACCTTATCAAATCACTTTACCCCTACAGACATTCACATATTCACACACTGATGATAGTAAGCTACACTGTAGCCACAGCTGCCCCACGTTTAATGAGAACTTGTGAGAAATGATAGTGGTTCAGCTACTGCAACTCCAGATCTCAGTTGCTAGTTCCTCTTCACACCTCTCTTGGTTCTTCTTTTGGTTGATTTCTGAAAGCTGCCATCTGTGMAGGATGTAGCAGCTCCACCTGTGATGTCAGAGACTGGTCTTTGATCACATCAAAGTGAAAGAACCTGGAGGCTCGACCCGGCCACAGTCAGCCTGGCCTTAACTCTGCTCTGGCCCTGGTTGTGTTTGCTTTGAGCAGAGTGACGCCTCGATGTGGGCAGGATCATAATATGAAACACAAATAATTTATTTCATTTTATTTGTGTTGCAACGATGGACAGCATCAAACTTGAAGGACCATCCAGCAGTATGGCGCTGAAGACGAGAGGGCAAGACGACAGAGGACAGTAAGCTAATGGTAGCTAATGTTAGCTAATGTTAGCTTCTTGATTAGTTAAACTTGTAAAAAAAAACATAGCTGTTGCAAAACAATTCAAGTAAAATTAATCTCATCAGTGTAATGTGACCCCCGGTCAGTGAATCCATCAATGAGCAACAGTAACTGCCATCAAATCAGGCTGGAATCAGGTCATAAGTAAGGATGCACATTGAAAATTTCAGTTGATATCCAATATTATTCTAGCTGTTATGGTCAATAACTGATATTTACACAAGCACACAAGTTTTTTTACAAATCCATACACACAAACACACTTTATAAAAAACAACCAGATCTCAGACATGACTCTGTACTTCAGTTATTCCTGGCTGTGCAGCATCACTATCATGATCAAACAGATACCACTGGACCAAACATGTCCCTCCCAAAACAGAAACACAAACAACAACAAGTGGGAAACCAATATCAGACATTAATATTAGCCCAGTTTTACTTATCAGACAGACACCAATATTATAAAAACTTACCAACATCAGTCCATAGCAATGCATCCCTAATCATAAAGCTAATGCAAACTTGCAGAACCCAGGTTTGTACCCAAGTCAGACTGTACAGTGCAAAACATCCAATAGACAGTAGGGGTGCACCAAAAAATCATTTTACATCAGAATCACAATTCTCATTTACAAAGATTCATAATCGATTTAAAATGTCCCAAAATGGATTTTTATAAATAAATAAAAAATAAAGCTAATCCAATGGCTGTCAGCCTCTGTTTTGTAACTACATGGGACATCGTGACGTCATCACGCAGCTGCTTCTGGAACATATGAATGTGCAGAAAACACCAAAACAAAGAGGAAACTACAAAACTGGAGGAAAGAGAGATTCAACTGACCCTGTCTTCATTGGATGCAAAGATTTGTGCTCATTTTGCATTTTACTGAATGAGTCTGAGTTTGACCTGAGTGAGGTGTGTAAGGTTTGCATAATGAAGATGAAGCACTTTGGGAACACAACAAATGGGCTCACATTATCAGGTTTGAATGAAAAATCAATTTGAATTGAAGTGTGGCCCCAAAATCAGAATTGAATTGAATCGTGAGAGAGTAAAAGATTCCTACCCCTATTAGACAGATGCCAACTTCTACTAGCTTTGTACTCTGACTGTTCAAAATCATAGATGGAACCATCTACATCTAGCCTGGCCCTTGCCTTCATCCACAGTTCCTCTCGCTTCACTGCTCTGTCTGGGATTTCTCCCATAGACAAGGATTTCTTCAGGAGAATTTCATTCAGGCCAATCAGAGAACAGAACATTGATTTTCTGCACAGTGTCTGCTTGTAGTTTGTTTTACCCGCCAATCAGCAAACAGAAGGAGGAGGTTTGATTGATGTAGATTTTCTGCGCAGTGTCTGCTAGTTAGTTTAGCATTCGGCAGTGGAGGAAGTGAATGAAGCCAGTCTGTGTTGATAAGGCTTCCAAATTAAAATAAATTTGTCTGACAAAGCAGCAGCTCTCATTTACAGTCGTCTCGTTCGGCTCGGTACTTCTCTACTCTCAATAGAGTTGTTTACAGCACACGCGATTTCCGGTTAGCTTCTTAGCTTAGCCTTCGTCACACCAACAAACATCGTGGCCAACTGATCCAATCATTTTAAACTTCAGCAGAGGCCACGCCTCCTGCAAGAATCACATCTCTGTAGCTGAGAGTCCAGACCCTCGTAYGTAGCAAAGTGAAGGACAAGGGTCTGGTTTTTACCAGGCTAATCTACATCTCACACAGACAATCTTTCAGAAATGAAGAGATAATCACAAAACTAACAGAGGGGTGGAGCAAAACCAAACTGTGTTGATGTGGAGCACAGTACAATAAATGTGACAGCATCTCTCTTATTTTCTTAGAACACATTAAATAACTCAGTATAATGATTCTCAGAGGTGAACTATTGTATAAACTAACACAAAGCTACTGTGGGTCAGTTTTGATGTTCTGTCATAAATCTGCTGGTTGTTTAATCCCACAGCCCTGTGGTCTTAGAAAAATACCTCATGAAGCAGTGGATGGCTTTAAAAAAAACTCTTAATATTTGCAGTCAGCACACCAGCTGGATGGATGCATTTAACTTCCACATCAGAACAAAACCAGCAGGAAACCAGGTTAACTGTGTATTTCTTGCCTCTCAGCAGCAGCTGTATGCATGCTGAGAGCTGTTGAGTTTCTTACCAGGGTCCAACCGGACGATCTTGATTGCTGCCAGTTCAGATGTCTTGATGTTGCGAGCCTGAAATAAAAACAAAGTTCAAGTAAGAAACAAATGTAGGAAATAATCTTCTTTGTATCAGTTCCTACAGGGCAGAGACAGAAAAATGCATCACTGGAGGAGWTGTGCATCATCATTTGACAGGAGGATTAAAGGTACCCTGCTGTTATCTCAGAGATGATCCGAAATTTTACAGCTCAGGGTTCAGGTTTATAAAAGATTGCGTGGAAACCATACTAAAAATGAACGTACAGCCAAAAGGTGAAAATGGCGTATGCAAAAAATATTCAGATTTATAAAACCATGCGTACGCACGTTTCTGCGCATCTTTCATTTATAAATCACAGTCGCACGTCAGAGTTTGCGCACAAGGTCCCGCCTCAGGTTCTACCCTCTACACGCCCACATTCAACCATAAACAGTCAATGTAAAGTACCTCATGAATGTTAAGATGTATTTAAATCAGTCAGCTGATCAATGTCAACAAAAGTGATTGTCTCAGACACACTCCATCGTGTGTCTGGATGATGACAGGTGCTGACAACTGCTCACGTGAATAAAATGTCCATAATTGACACAGATTTTCCCTGATTTCGCAGGTTTACAGACGTTTAGAGTAATCTAACGATTTTTATCAAAAACTCAGCTTCAAATTAATTTTCTCTCAGAGCCTGCAGGAC